TATGTAACATTTGTTATTTTAGTTGTTTTATTTTTATGTTAATTTCAGGTGATTTTTTTTGATGTTTATATATATATATTATTCAGCTGAATTACCATCATGGTTCATACTAGACATTGAATTTGGAAGATATCGAACATTTTTTAGAAGATGATGATTATTTACCACAAGATTCAGTTTTAGAAGATGATTGTCAGTAAGAGGCCGATGTGCAAAGTGACTTAGGAGATGTTCATTTGACTGAAGACGATCGATTATTTCGGGAAGAATCGGAATCTTCTGTTTCATAAACTGCGAACAATTTAACCATTCTCAGAACAATTCGAGGTAAGAATGGTCATTGTTGATCAACTACAAAGGGACTTATATCAAATAGAACTACAATTAAATATTAGCGAGTATATAAAAGTTAAGTAGAAACTATATCGTAGCAGCGTGACGAAGGTCGTCTATGTTTAAAAAAATCTACATTTAATGAATAAAGACCAATGTAAGCGCTTCGTACTCACCCACGAATAACTCGCTCCTTCTAAGTTTACGTATTATGACGGGCAACAACTGAACCCTACATTGTGCGTGGCCTGATACGTACTTGGCGGGTTTTTGTCTTCAATAATTTAAATTTTATTTGGAGCCATAACTCACTTTTCCGTTTTATCTCTTGCATTACATATGTATATCTATCTACCTTCGACAAAGAAGTGTGCTTTAATATTTTATTAAATACTAGGTGGTATCCGGCGCGGCGCTTTGCTGCCGCATAAAGAAAAAATTAAAATATCATCTTAAATTTGGAAGAGTTGTTTGATTATAAATGATAACACATTCATTGAAATTGAATAATGTATTATTATAACTTTGAAATATAGGATACGCGCGCTACCTACTGTGTGTGTAAAAGATAATTGTACTATGCCTATAACCTTCGCTCAAGTGCAAGCAATAAGGCTTTAACTATCCTGAATGACCTTGACGAAACGGCGATCGCAGAGATTTTAGCCGATGTCAACACCGTCTAGCAACTACGTTCTGTATTACTTATAAAAGTGCAAACATTAATAGACTGCAGAGATGACAATTATATAAGTGACATACTGCCTGTTATGCTTGCGCATCACTGAGAATTATGTCGCGGTTACGGATCTTCAATTACATAGTGCTGTAGCTTTGTCCGGTAGGCGTCACGAGCTATCAATTGTTCAAGTTTCAAGTACGTAAGAGTTTTTTATTATATATGTTAAATCGTATTTATTTGTATCGTATTAATAGATCTGGGTCAAAGCGTTCGCTGTAAATTTTCCCCGGTTTGATCCCCGACAGCACGAATGAAATTTGTAATTGCAATTTTCGTCAACACGCATTGGGGAAGCATGGCGGGAATTTCCTTGCCCTAAAACCCTCTCAGAAATAAAAAAAAGAGTCCTGTGCCCAGTAGAGGGACTTGTATAGCCTATTACTTTACTTTGTAGCAATATTTATATTCGTTTCAGATATAGAAGGGTACCTTATGCTGACAAAAATATCTTGTGGAGGCGACGAAAACGTAAATCATCTTTGTACCTAGATAAAACGTTCGAAAGATTGTCAGTCATGTCATACGCCACATTTTCTATAGAGCATAGAACATTGCAGATAGGGCAAAATAAAAAATAATCCAAAATATTATGGGAACTATTTATTAATAATATATACATTTATAGGTATTTATAATAAACATAATGAACAAGCTGCAAGGTTCAACTAATAATGTTTTTTGTAAACACAATCGTAAAATTGCTGTTTTAATTTTTACCAATGGTTAATTGATGAAACGTAGTCAAGATCACTTCATATAAAATATATTTAATTAAAATTGACACGTGACCTATTTGGCCTTCTACTTACAACTCGGCGGAAATTTGAAAAGAAGATTTTGTCTTTCACACAAGTATTGTTTACAACTGGCGTGGTTTCGAAAAGCGTGATTAAGTGTCAGCGGTATATTATAATCAATTAAATACTGAACTTTTATGAAATTTATTTTTTTGTTTATTTATGTTGTTTTCTTAGAAACTTACGCCATCTCACTATTTTATTCTTTGTTTTTTTTTTTGTAACGCATAAGGATAAGTTAGATTAACTTGGATAAGTTTATAATTTTTTAATTTTATCACAAAATTTCCGCAATAAATTATTACCTTTTCTACAGTGATTCTCTCCTCTTAGTTTCGGCGTGACTGTAGGATGTTATACTGAGTCACCGTTAGTTACTAAGCGGCCATAAATCATTATATGTATGTATAGACATACATATATAAATTTTTTGATTTTAATATTTAAGTTTTTTTGAATTTTGATTGGATTTTTGAAACCTGGTAAAATTATTTTTTTCCATGCCAATTGATGGGCCTGAGTATAATGCCAGTTATGCTCTTTGGCTGAAGTTATTTTCTGCCGACTTCCAAAAAGGAGCCGGTACTCAATTCGACTGTATGTTTTTTTTTTTCGTTTTTTTTTTTATGTGTGTTACCTCAGAACTTTTTTCTGGGTGAACCGATTTCGATGATTCTTTTTTTATTTGAAAGCTGGTACTTCTCGTGTGGTCCCATATGAATTTGATCAAGGTCAGACCAATAGTTTTTAAGTTATTCTTAAATAACTTATATTGAAGTCGGCTGTACAAAATTTTTAATTTTAAATTATTTATTTCATGCTCAATTGCAGACAAAATAATATTGATTGCGCATTTACAAAACAAAATTTTACCTCTTCTCCTTCTAATAATAGCTCATGCACCTAACACGGCGAAATAGATATTATTATCTATAAGACCATTTGCGGAAACAGTTTTAGTTAACAGTTATGAGTGTAACATTTTATCAGCTGCTTTGTTTATAGTGCCTTGAGTAACACTTTGCCGGTTTCTGTACAGAAAATGATACTGGCTTTGCAAATATGGATGGCCGCTACCATTGAATATAATACCCGCTATGTTACACTTATTTACATAGAAACTTTAATTATCATTTGCATTAAATTCTAAATAGCACTTTTTACACAAGAAAGTAAACTTTTAGATCAGTCCATCTTGTTTTTCTGCCGACTTCCAAAAAGGAGCCGGTACTCAATTCGACTGTATGTTTTTAATTTTCGTTTTTTTTTTTTCGTTTTTTTTTTATGTGTGTTACCTCAGAACTTTTTTCTGGGTGAACCGATTTCGATGATTCTTTTTTTATTTGAAAGCTGGTACTTCTCGTGTGGTCCCATATGAATTTGATCAAGGTCAGACCAATAGTTTTTAAGTTATTCTTAAATAACTTATATTGAAGTCGGCTGTACAAAATTTTTAATTTTAAATTATCTCTAATTAGGTGAAAAATAAAACAAACCAATATGTCCGTGATTTAAAATTTATTGCAACTTTTTATAGAAAAGCATGTGTTCGAGCAATATTGTAATGCGTGTGTGTTGTATGTAAGATGAACAGTATACAAGTGTGAGTGAGGTCTTTAATAAGGTAAAATGTAATTTAAATGTTTAGTAGCAAATAAACCACCGTATCATTGACACCTTGTTTCTGTGATCAGTCCCTGTAAAAGTAGTGAACCTTAATACCAAAACATATGGTCGATAATCGAGCCGGATCTAACGACGTGTCTCTTGTGACGTTATAACTATCAAGTACTAAACAAAAGGACGGACCGGGCGGTCGAGGCGAGAACAAAAGAACCTTTTTTTACCTGAGTGTGACTTGTGCAAGTTATAAGACATTTTACGAACGTTTGAATAATTACATATTTGAGTTATCGAAGTGAAACTAGTTTGTTTATAATACATTTGTGGAACGTTTTATACATTTGTGGAACGTTTAAATAAATATGGCCACTACTCCGGAACAAATATTATCTTTATTAGAAAATACTGCGGCATTATTACAAAAGGCTCAGAACAACCTAAAGAAATGTCCTAAGCAGCGACTTACAAAAGGATACATTGAAACTCGACTGCAAATGATAGAAGAGTATTGGAATTCTTTTAAAAAATCACATCAAGAGCTTGTAAAATGTGTTCCCAAAGAAAAGAAGCAAAATATACCTTATTTCGCAAACGAAGACTATTTTATTTATGAGGATCTATATTTAAGTTTACAAGCCGACCTAAGAGATTTATTGTCAACATTAACACAGCCGATATCATTGCATCCTAGTATACCTACCAACCCTATTACATCCAATGAAGGAATAGTCAAATTACCACGGATACAACTGCCTTCTTTCACCGGTATTTACTAAGAATGGCCTGCATTTCAAGATCTATTTATGTCGTTAGTGCACAACAACTCATCTCTTAGTAAAGTACAAAAACTTCACTATTTAAAGAGTAGCCTTAGTGGTGAAGCCGAAACTCTGTTGAAGCATATTCAAGTAACAGAAGATAATTATGATCAGTCATGGGTGATGCTTAAAACTCGTTACGGAAATAAACGTATAATAGTAAATTCTCTATTGAAAAGATTATTTATGCAGAGGAAAATCCCTGCCCAAACTGCAAACTATATAAAAGCACTTCTCGATACCACTACAGAATGCATTAATAGCTTAAAAAATCTTACAATTTCAACCGACTCTTGGGATCCATTAATTATATTTCTCGTTGTGCAGAAGTTGGACCCGGAGACGCACAGAGAATGGGAGGAGTTTGCTTACCGGGAAAATTCTGACGAATTACCTTTGTGGGCGGATCTCTGTAAGTTTTTACAATCGAAATTTCGTACATTAGAGTTAATCACACCTTCACCAAGGGACAAGATAATAAGAAATAAAGAAAATACGCTACATGTTGCTACTGCGGCTACGTCTAAATTAAGGAGTTACCTGATGTGTAAAGAAAATCATACACTGTGTCACTGTAGGGAATTTTCTAAGATGGAACCAACAGAAAGGTGTCAATATCTAAAGAACCACAATCTGTGTTTTAATTGTTTGGCCCCAGGACACTCTGCAAAGAAATGTCACCTCAACATGTCCTGTCGTATATGTCATAAACGTCACCACTCTTTAGTGCACCAAAACATGGTGACGTCATCAAATCAACCAGACAATGACCAAGCGCATGAAGCGAAGAATAATGATCAAGGAAGCTCTGCAAATCCAACAATATCAAATGTTCAGTTATCATCACATTTTGCTACTAGTACCACCACAGCTTTATTGGCTACAGCACTCATAGTTGTCAGGGATCAACTGGGACATACAGCTGTACTACGTGCCTTAATAGACCATGGCTCACAAGCCACATTTATAAGTGAAAGAGCTGCTCAGACACTTAAACTGAAACGCACTGCTATTAAAGGTACAGTTACAGGCATGGGATGCAGCAAAACAATTTTGAAGCAAGCTGCTGAAATACAACTTTTATCAAGATACGAAGCAAACTTTAACCTCAATATCAAAGTTTACATAATGCCAACTCGTCTTACATGTCAGTTACCAACTCGAACCATTTGCCTGAAGAACTGTTCACACCTCCAAGGCCTCGTTTTAGCAGATCCAGGCTTCAATCAACCAGGACGTATAGATATGTTATTAGGTGTGGACGTATGTGCCCAAATTATGAAAGGTGAAGTAATCAAAGGTCCTCCAGGCACTCCATGTGCTCAAAATACCAGCCTGGGATGGATTCTGTTTGGCCACATACAAAGCAACAGAGAAAATTATGAGGTCAGTGTCATGCATCTTAATTTGAATTTAGATGACATGCTGAGGAATATGTGGGAGCAAGGTACAGATGAAAAAAGAGCATTAACAGCAGAAGAAAAAACATGTGAAGAAATATATCAAGCTACAACGCACAGAACATCAGAAGGACGTTATATTGTAAAACTTCCAACAAAACAAAAAACACTTTTATCACCATCAGGAAGAACAAGAGATATAGCACTAAGAAATTTGTATCAATTAGAAAAGAAATTCGAAAAAGATCAAAGCTTAGAAAGTGAATACACAAGGGTGATGCAAGAATATATAGAGTTAAATCATTTAGAGAGAGTACCAGAAAATGAAATTAACAACCCAGCAGTCTACCTTCCTCATCATGCCGTTGTAAGGCAAGATAAAGAAACAAGTAAAGTGAGAACAGTTTTTAATGCTTCGCAAAAGGGAAACAATAACATTTCCCTCAATGAAGAGCTACTGGTAGGACCACAGTTACAAGACGACATGAGAAGCTTAATCATGAGATGGCGAATGAAAAGGATCTGTTTTGTTGCTGACATCCAAAAAATGTACCGTCAAATTTTAGTCTCAAAAGAAGATAGAGATTTACAAAGGATATTATGGAGAAATTGCAAAATCCAACCAGTACAAGATTATCGTCTCCTGAGAGTTACGTTTGGAACTGCTTCTGCTCCATATTTAGCAGTAAGAACCTTGCATCAAGTTGCGGAAGACGAAGGTCGAGATTACTCTGATGCTGCCAGAATTATAAAGGAAGACTTTTACATGGATGATCTGATGTCAGGCAAAGACACACTTCAAGATGCAATCAAAGTAGCGAAAGAGATTGGGTTTATTTTGCAGAAGGGAGGTTTCACTCTTCAGAAGTGGTGCTCAAACAACGCAGAGTTCTTAAAACAATTTGAACCCTCTGAAAGAAGTTCTCAAGTACACCTAGATATAAAGATAGATGGAACAATACGGGCACTAGGCTTACAATGGGACATGGGAAAAGATGTATTTAAATATAGTCTTCACTTACCTTCTATGGCTGCTACTGTAACTAAGAGAACAATCCTAGCCGACATTCAAAGATTATTTGATCCACTTGGCTGGTTAGCACCTTCTATATTGCCTGCAAAATTACTCATACAACATTTATGGATACAAGGAATTTCATGGGATGAAGAAGTTAACCACTTAATTGCAGAAAAATGGAGAAAACTGCGAGAAAGCTACCAATACTTACCTGAGGTAGAGATCAACCGGTGGCTGCATACATCTGAAAATGTAATGAATAATGTTACAGTTCATGGTTTTTGTGACGCATCTACTCAAGCATACGCTGCAGTTGCTTACTTAAGAGTTCAACTATAGATGGATTGGTTAAGACAGAAATAATTGCAGCGAAAACACGTTTAGCTCCTATCAAACCTCAATCCTTACCTCGTTTGGAGCTTAACGGGGCTGTACTCCTGGCGGGACTCCTGAAAAAAATAAAGGAAGCTATGAAAATACCTACCTGTCAAATATTCGCGTGGACGGATTCCACCATAGTACTCTCTTGGCTTTTGGGAGATCCTGCAAGGTGGAATACATTTGTGAGAAACAGAGTTGTTGAGATATTAGACAACATTGGCAACCAGAATTGGTATCACTTCCAATCACAAGACAACCCTGCTGATGCAGCTTCTAGAGGGAAGCACATGCTAGATCTGAAAGGTGATAAAATGTGGTGGAACGGTCCTGAATGGCTAAGCACAAGTAATATTAAATACAGCAGACCAGCAAACATAACAACGAACCTAGAAAGAAAGATCATATCAGTACAAGTGAATCTAAAACAAACAAACGAAAGTTCTAGTATAGCTACTAAGTTTAACAGATTTGATAATTTAACAGAACTATTAAAAGTTATAATATATTGCAAAAGATTCTTCAAAGGAAGGGAATTGGAAAATAAGGCAACTACAATAACTACAACAGAATTAGAAGAAGCTTTAAAAACATGTATAAAAATTGTACAAAGGGACACATTTGAAGAAGACATACAAAACCTAAAATCAATAAAAAGGGTAAAAAATTATAGTAAAATAAAGTCTCTTTTACCTTACCTGGATGATGAAGGTATCCTCAGGGTGGGCGGCCGATTACGTCACTCTGACCTTGATGAAAATTGCAAACATCCTATTATATTAGACAGCGAAAATCACTTGAGTGCACTTATAGTATCTGATGCTCACTTGAAGACACTACATGGTGGAACGCAATTGATGCTTGGATATTTAAGATTAAAATACTGGATCCTGAAATCAAAGAAATTGGTAAAAATTAAAATTCGCAATTGCCTCATATGTGCCAAGCAAAACGCTGTAGCTAAATCACAATTAATGGGAGACTTACCTCGTGTAAGAATTACGCCTGCTCGACCCTTTCTACACAGTGGAGTAGACTTTGCTGGCCCTTACCAAATCCTGAGATCTAAAGGTAGAGGATTTAATACAATTAAGGCTTACATAGCAATCTTTGTTTGCACGTCAACGAAAGCCATACACCTAGAATTGGTTGGAGACCTTACCTCGGAGGCCTTTATTGTAGCTTTCAGAAGATTTGTAGCAAGAAGGGGAAGATGTGCACATCTCTGGAGCGACCAGGGAAGAAACTTCGTAGGTGCCAACAAAGAACTTGTAGCAGCTTGGGCAGACGCAAAGATGAAGTTTGAGGGTCATATTTCTGAAATGTTAGCATTAGATGGCACACAATGGCATTTCATACCAGCCTATAGTCCTCACATGGGCGGATTATGGGAAGCAGGTGTCAAATCAATGAAATACCACATGAAAAGAATATTGACTTGCAACCTAACCTATGAAGAAATGATGACCTTACTGTGTCAAATAGAAGCTTGCCTTAACTCACGCCCGCTTAGCCCTATTGATGACTCAGACACGGACAACATACTGCCACTTACACCAGGGCACTTCTTAATAGGCGAAGCTCCAATCAATGTACCCCACTCTGATCTAAAGAACATTCCTGTCAGTCACTTGTCACGATGGCAACATCAACAGAAGCTTCTATCAGATTTTTGGCGAAGATGGCAACAAGAGTACTTGACCAGGTTACAGCAGAGACCTAAGTGGCAAGAAAAAGTGAAGGAATTTGAAATAGGACGCATTGTTCTTATAAAATGTGACAATCTCCCTCCTGGCAAATGGATGCTGGGTCGTGTGGTGGATAAGCACCCAGGTCATGATGGAGTGACTAGGGTGTATAGTGTTAAAAGTGGTGAAAGTGTAGTGCAAAGACCAATGAACAAATTGTGTCCTTTACCTATAGATATAGACTGATGTTTTATTCCAAATCATTTATGGTTAAATTTTATTTTGCATGTATTAAATGTTCTAGTATGTATTCCCATTTACATGAAAATTGTGTCAAATAGTTTTTTATTTTTTTAATTTTGATTGGAATATGTCCATTACTATAAAGCTTAATGAATTTAGGGTGTTACCTTTATCAAAAATGTATGTAATCACATATATTGTATAACAAATGTCATGTAAAATTATTATATTTGGAGAATGTCTGAAATGTAACAAGTTAGATAATAAAGGACTTTATGAGTCCTTTGGTGGGCGGCATGTTCGAGCAATATTGTAATGCGTGTGTGTTGTATGTAAGATGAACAGTATACAAGTGTGAGTGAGGTCTTTAATAAGGTAAAATGTAATTTAAATGTTTAGTAGCAAATAAACCACCGTATCATTGACACCTTGTTTCTGTGATCAGTCCCTGTAAAAGTAGTGAACCTTAATACCAAAACAGCATGACCTTAACATAATATAGTCAATCATTTAGTCAATTATTTAGCCATGGGATAAAACTTTTAAGTGTGCCAGTCAAACATTAATGATGATATTCGAGTCATTATACTGGAAATAGTCTTTTAAATATTTTTTAGTACAATTGACAATCTTCAGTATGATTGACCGTGTATATGACTTTTATAAGTCTATGTTATTTTTGATGAAAATTATTATTGCAGATAAAAGCCCTTTCACATTTATTTTAGTCTCGAATTAAATTAATCCAAATGAAAATAATAACTTTGGCTCTTTATAACTGATCTTTAAATGTAAAACACTGACTTGAAATTATATAATTATTAGCAGTTTTTAATTCATTGAACTTTTTTAAGATTGTATTGGATCTCTACTGGTAAATATATATATATATATATATATATATATATATATATATATATATATATATATATAAATATATATATATTATAGTTCTTGATGAAAATAAAGTATGCGCGTTACATCGTATCCCATCAAGAATTTCTAATGTAATTCTTGGTGTAAAGCTAAGATGTGATAATAACTGTAAACAATAGATTAACAAAATAATGTAAACATTTGTAAATACTTGTTTTATAACCTAATAAATATTATTTGACCGTAATAAAATAAAACAAGGTAGTCTTCGCCATGAAAGTAAAAATAAATATATTCGATTATTTTTGCGATATCTAACAGCCGGATCAGCGCGCGATTCTGATCCATCTAAAGATGCTAAATTTCAGCAAACACTGTCAAATGCAATAGGAGTGACAGAAAAAAACGGTTCTTGATATAAAAGGGTAAATAAATTATTTAACCTATAAAGTAAAATCACTTTATTAAAAATCAAAATAGCCCAATAGCTTTATTAACATGAGACACATAATTGTACGAGTGCTAACAATACTTAACATTATTTTACTGAAATCTCAGAAAGTTTTTTTTTTAATAGAATAAGGGTGACAAACGAGCACACAGTCCACCTGATGTTAAGTGATTGCTACGGCCCATAGACATCTACATCTATTCTCGATTACGTATCAAAATGTAGATGCGTTGTCACCCGTGAGGACTAAGATGTAATGCCTCGTTTCCAGTAAAAAGGTTCTCCGGTTCTCTACACTCACCATACGAAACACAGCAGGCTTAAACTGCTATTTTACATGGTATTCTGTGAGAGCGTGGCCCTTCCCCGGTCGAGCCGACCCATTCGTGCTACAACTATACCTACTACTAATATAGCTGCAGCATGGCTCTACCACGTAAGAAAAAATTGACGTTGAAAATTTAAGTATTTTCAGAAGCAACTTTGCAATTATTTTCTATTGAGTGAACTTTTGTGGAATCGTGTTTTACAAACCGCCACCTGAAATACGTACAATTTTTTTCGATAACGACGTGAAATTACAAAACGATCCCCATGCATATCAATGTGGCTCCATTCAGCCTCTTAAAATGCACATACCTCGGGATTGAGAGATTTTAAAAGTTTTCATGCATAGATAATGGAAGAAATAATATTATATTATTACTGTCCCGTGTGAGGCAACCTTTATACTTATATACATATACTTATCATATTTTTATGGTTGGTTAGAAAAGTTATATCTAAATGCAAACTTTCACAGGGTAATTTTTTTTTTTTACTATTTTTACCCAGAAAGTAGTAAAGCAACTACAATTCCATCGCTGGTTATGTAGCCTAAGATGGTGAATTGCACTGACTTAACAAAAACCTATTCACTCTTGCCTAATACTCGTAGTACTAGGTAAGTATTATTTGTGACCTATTTGTATGTGTGTGTGTGTGTGTGTGTGTGTGTGTGTGTTTGTGTGTGTATGTGTGAAGAAAAGCGTATAAGAATACGTGAAGAGGAATAAAGGTTGAGTACTACTTCGCTTACCTATACGAGGTTGCCACTCGAGAACCTTTCTTCCTATTTTTTATCGGTTTTCCAAGTTATATAGCTCTGCCACCCATTGCCATTTCACTTTAATATTCCGTATAATGTTAGTTACTCTGGTTCAACTGCGAATATCTTCATTTCTAACTTTATCACGTAGAGAAACCCCTCTCCAATTAAAATTTTTACATTTTTAGATGATAGTTTGTGTAACATAAAAAAAACCATAAACCCAAGAATGTCTTTATATAGTTATTTATACTTAGGGAAGCACCATTTTTATTATTTATTTAAATCGTTTGATTTAATTTGATAACAGTGTACCTAAATGTAAGTATCTGTATCTTTATTTCCCTCCCCAATAATATTTTATAAAGTCATACTCATAAAAACAGCGTTTTATTGTAATACATAATTATAAAATTCAGTATCAAATAATTAATAAAAATATGCAACAATAAAATTACATAGGTATTAAAAACTATCGAAATCTAAGTAACGAGAGCATGTTCGTCGTTCCACATCTAAATTATATAAATTTGCATTTTTCAATTTCACTAACAAACGTCGCCGCGAAAATTTCTTCTTCTTTGGGCACTTTAAAAAGTCATTTATTTAGAAAATAATATTTACAGTTACCAGTGTACAGATATTAACTAAATTAAGTATTTCTAGGCATAAAAATATTTATAATTGAGTATAAACTTATAAAAAACTAATATATATTTTACTAGGCTCATGGTGCGAACTAAGGGGGTGGTAGATTTTACGCCGCTACCATACGGCGAGGAGCCGAGTCTGTCGTTTCGGCTTTGTCGCTCGTTTAGCACCACCCGGGGGACACGTGTAGGGTGGGCCTAGGATTAGAAAGAAAGAAAGAAAGAAAACATTTATTGCTCAAATACGCCACATGTACATTTAAACCATAAACATAAAAAATACATAGATAGTAAAAAGAAAAAAAAAAGAAAAAAAGAAGAATACAAAAAAAAAAATATTAAACACATCACACATTTTACGCACACAAGTGTGTGTGGCGTACACGGCAAACAGACCGCACTCAGCTTAATGCCGCAGTCGATACGAGACTACAGCGCTGGTTTTCAGTGGGCCTGTGAATTAAGTGACGCACGGACGTTCACACCGTCATTGATAGACTAATAATAATTAACATAGATTACATGAATGAACTAACTGGATCTAGTACAAAGAATGTCCGAAAATTTTTTTTTTAAAAGTATTGTTATCACCATAAGAGTCATGTATCTATGAGGTATTAGTTGGAAATAATATGAAAGAAGAAACACTATATGATGGCATCCTACAAAAATATTTTCTCACAGGTATGTAATCATAACCATAATCTTAAGCAACAATATTATCACTAGAAACAATATTGTAATAAAGTCACTAATGATTGCACGTTAAACATATACTTGTATCATAGTTATAATTAATAGCATGAAAAACGCTTTTATTTCAGCATTTAAGTATCAAAAAATAAAAAATAAAGTACTATGCACTCTTATGCTTTCCGTATGACCCCGCCGGACAGCGCTAAGTGTCTGTAATTATTTAGGTAGGTAAATATCAAGCCATAGCTTTTTGAACAATAATTAGGTGAGTTTTATATTTTATTTTAAATGTATTTAATGTTTTCAGACTACGAAGCGGTGGCGGCAGGTTATTCCAGCATTTAGAGGCAGAATATTTGAAACTTCCACGAAAGGCGATGGTACGATGGTAGGGTACAACCAAAGAGTAACATGACGCGCGAGTGATCTTTGATTGTACGTCGCGAGACCACACTAATTTGTGATAAAGATAAGGTGGTACATTATATTTAATTAATCCAAATAGAAATGTGGCTAGGTGGTGTTCTCGCCTATACTGCATTTTTAAAATATTGTGCTCGTTTATGTACGGCGTGACGTGAGCGCGTGGAGGTATCTTAAAACAAAATCTCGCACAAGCATTCTGCACCCTCTGGACAAGTTTCTTGCTATGCACAAGCAGACGAGGGCCATACACTATATCCATATAATTAAATTTAGACAGAATCAAAGAATCGCACAGTCTTATCCGCATATCGGTATTTAGGCAATTTCTAATTTGATATAATACTTTTAACCTATAAAAACATGTTCTTGCAGTGTTTATTATGTGACTTTCAAAGCGTAACTTGTCATCTATCAACAAACCCAAATTACGAGCCTCAGTCACGCGTTCAATTCGTTCGCTCCTTATGGTTACTTTAGCATCATGTTTTGCTATTTTTTGTATTTGCTGAGCCGTACCTAGAATCATATATTTAGACTTGCTTCCATTAAGGACTAATGCGTTCGAATCTGACCAAGCTGCAATTCTTTCGAGATCGTCATTTAATTTTTCCACCGCTAATTTAGTCTCCCCCGGTTTACAAGGTATATATATCTGTGTATCATCCGCGTACATATGGTATTTGCAATGCTTAATACAATTTGTTATATCCGCACAATACACGGCAAACAAAATAGGTCCTAGGATAGATCCCTGCGGAACGCCTTGTTTGACAGCCTGAGCGTTCGAAATGACTGGTAACCCATTTTCGTCTGATATTTCTACTTGCTGTATACGATGCTCGAAATAACTTTCGAACCATTTTATCGCAGATATTTCGAAACCGTAGTAATGTAATTTAGACAAAAGCAATGGCACATTAAGACAGTCGAATGCTCTGGAAAAGTCTAGCAAGGCTAAAATCGTTCCTTTGCCACTGTCTATATCTGATAGTATCGTCGACAACATTTATCATAGCGGTTGACGTACTGTGGTGTTTTCTAAACCCTGACTGAAGACTGGGAAGCACATCGTTAGTTTCTAAGTATATTCTTACCTGCTCAGCCACGACTTTCTCCAGGATTTTTGATACACAGGGGAGTATACTAATCGGGCGTATGTCCTTCATGGTAATAGGATTTGAGTTTTTGGGTATAGGTCTGATGAGTGCGTGCTGCCATTCTGAGGGATATGTTT